GTTATAAGAAAATGCATCGATAAGTAGATATGGAACACAATTAATATATATTATATACACACTGGGGTTCAAAAACCATTTATTTTCCGGTGAACATTATACAACACATGTTAAAATTATTCAACGCATCTTAGTCCAACAGAAAAACTCTCTACTCGTCCAGATTTTCGTACAACCATTCAATTATTAGCACAATATATAACTTACATATTTAAAGGTTTGAAAAAACAAATAACCCAAATTATAGATTAGCCGGACCTATTTGCCATTACGAAAAGGTGATGGAACTAATCAAATCCTTTTTAATGAAGATTGGGTAAAAAAATAAACTACTCTCAAGTGTTACAAAAAAGATTTGTAATAAAACTCGATCAAGTTAATTGTCAGAATGTGGGGAACGAGATTACGTATAGAATCTAGAGGGACAAAATGTCACACTAGCCACTGTTTTTACTTTATAAAGAAACTGGAGTATAAATGATTTCAAGTCCCAACCCAGGCTCGTCGCCGCTGTCAACCGGCCTGACGCCGGAAGACGAGAACAATCATGGGTCAGAAAAAGAAAAAACTCCCCCGTCACCTAATTCCAGGAACATCCAAATTTGCTCGTATTACTGCTGCTTCAATGAAAATTGCAGAGGTGAAGAAGATAGCTAGTCTCTCCGGTGGTCACTCCGTCGGCTCTCATGCGGCTGCTCCCTCCTCTTCAAACATTGCTGCATCTACGCTTCCTCCTGAAGTGATCTGGGAATCGAGTCCTCCACAGATCTGAGCTCTCCCCACCCGATTATCTCTCAAAGTAGAAGTTTCAGCTGTTGAGAGAATCTCCTCCGGTGCTGTTCATCCAACCACTTATGAGGGTAATACGATTAAGGATACATCTCCTGATAGGGCTTCTCCACATCCCCGAAAGTGGACCTCTCTCCTGGATCCTACAAAACTGGAACAAGTGGGAACTTCCGCAGTGGTAACAGTTGAGCTTCGCGGTCTCCCCTACCTCTTATTCAACAAGGAAAGTCTAGGAAGAATAGCAACAGCGGTAGAAACGGAGAGGAAGGAAACTTTTGAGGTCGCTAAGGTGTTGGTCAGAGTAGATTTGCTAAAGGAATTACCAACCAAAGTAATTTCAGGATTTAGTAATGGTCGGGAAGTGGAGATATCTGTGTCGTACCCTTGGCTTCCAAGGAGATGTGATGTGTGCAAGAAATACGGTCATGATAAGAATCAGTGCAACCTCAGAACAACTCTTGCAATAACACATTCAAGAAATAGAACGAGGTCTCGAAGTAGAGCTCCTCCTCGTCGCAGAAAGTTCTGATGCTTCAGTAGTTAAAGACAAGGACACAGATGTGTCTGTGCCAGCACAAACAATTAACCATGAAATCTCTGGGGTTAAACCAGGACCGGTAAGGGACAGTGATGTTGTTGTCTCAGAATTGAGCCCAAAGACAGAGATTTCCTGTAAGGAGAATTCTGAAGGAGTAGAAGCAGTGGTAAGGCAAACATATGGAGAAACATCATCACCTGCAAGTAAACCACAAAGGAGTGGATTAATATCCACAAGCCCCTTTTTGGAGTTTTCTTAGAAACGCATATACGACCCACAAACTCAAGGAGAATCTCGTGTGCAACTCCTAGAGGTTGGAAATTTTTTGGGAATTTTGACTATGCAAGAATCGTTTTGGTGTGGGATCCAAGTGTTTCTGTAATGGTGTATAAAGTATCGGCTCAGGCTATTACTTGTGGTATCTTTGTGCAAGGAGGGAATATCTCTATGACTGTTACTTTTGTTTACGGATTTAACAGTGTGGAGGAAAGACAGAGTTTATGGGAGGAATTGGTATTTTGGAATGAAACTACACCTGTTGCAAGGCATCCTTGGGCAATTGTTGGCGACTTTAATCAGATTATACGGATCACTCAGCATTCAAATCATCAAAGGGAGCTCATTGATACGTCCGGGGTGAATGATTTTAACATGGCTATCCAAGATTCAGAGGTGTTTGAGGCTCAAGCTAAAGGCCTCTGTTATTCTTGGTGCAACAATAATGATGAAAATCCTATATCCAAAAAGATTGATCATGCTTTTATTAACCAGCATTGGGCATCAACGTTTCAGGACTCTTATGCTGACTTTTTGGAACCGCAGCAATCTGATCACTCGCCTTGTTTGATGTGCGTACCTTCTCTTCGGCTGCAGGTTAGCAAACCTTTCAAATTCTTTCACCATGTAATTGATCATCCACAGTATGAAGAAGTGGTTAGCGCAGCCTGGAATTGTGGATCTATACAAGGTACATGTCAGTTTAAGCTCATGAGATCTATGAAACTTTTGAAGCATGTCCTCAGGAGATTAAATAGACGGCACTACAGCGGTATTTCTAAAAGAGTAAAAGCTCAGGCTGAGAAGATAGCTGAATTACAGAGGAGTTTGCTTACAAATCCTAGTGTGAATACTGCCCGTCAAGAGCATCAGGCTAGAGAAATATGGTTGACACTTATTAGAGCGGAGGAAAAGTTCTATAGGCAAAAATCAAGAGTTCAGTGGATGCATTTGGGAGACAGGAATACACCGTTGTTTCAGAGGTCGGTGACTCAAAGAGCTTCACGGAATCATATCCACTTCTTCAAAGACGACAGTGGAAGGAAAATTGTATCAAACGCAGAGAAAAAACAGCATGCTGCTGTTTATTTCCAGGAAGTACTAGGCTATACCAGTCTCTCTACTTCGCCATGCTCTATCACTCAACTGCAACAGCTTCTCCCCTTTAGATGTTTGGAGGTCCAAATTGCAGCGCTGCAAAAAACAGTATCTGAGGAGGAAGTTAAAGCAACAGTTTTTGCTTTGCCGTTCAATAAAAGTCCAGGGCCTGACGGGTACTCAGTGGAGTTTCTTCGAGCTTCATGGAACATAGTGGGTGGTGATGTAATTGCAGCAGTGCAAGAGTTCTTCCGTAATGGCAGGCTGTTAAAAGACCTCAACACCACAACCATCGCACTAATACCAAAAACGCCTGAAGCTTGTAAGTTGGGTGAATATAGACCGATCAGTTGCTGCAACTTGGTGTGTATTAGTCCTAACCAAGCTGATTTCCTAAAAGGGAGGAGTCTAGGT